CTTCACAGCGTCAGGCACTGAACTGCTTTCTCCAATGCATTCCTTCACAGAAGCCCAGATGGCTCGCTCGGGCAATGAGCGCAACCGCTTGGATTGAGTGCAGGAGAACAGCACTTGCCAGAAAAACAAGGCAAAAACAGGCCAGAGCCCAGAAATACATGAAAAAGAACAAAAAAAAAATAAAAACGTTATTCCTTCGATGTCATTTCCTTTTCTGAAAGCAAGAGGCCTTTATATAATTCCAAGTCAGCTTGGCTTGGCTTGCATGTCTGCAGTGTTTTTTTAGTTTTTTTATCTATAGTACTTGGGAGTATTTTTTAAATATCAACTCAATTCGGAGTTACCCAGTTTTCGGAGTCGGCTGGTTCACTCAAAGCTGAGAGGATCCTGGCTCCACCGCCCCAGCAGATCTCAACCCCACAGTCAGCCACTGATGCTCATGGTAAGCCAGCAACATCGCCCAGGCTCACACTGGGACACAAAGTGCACCCGGGGGTCAGAGCAAGCACCTTTATCGAACCCCGCAGGCGCTTCGGACGTTTCGGCAAACCAGCCGTCACCAGGCTTGCCGACTTCTCTCCTGCTCCACCTTCTTGAAATGTCACGGATTCCACCGGGGCAAGGTCACCGAGTTTCGCATGTTGCACTTTGTGGGGTTGATTTGGCCTGACTTCGTGTCATTAAATCCAGTCACCCTGTTCTGCTTTCTTCTCGAAATTATCATTCCTACAGTAAACATGAGAGTGGGCAGAGGGGCTACTCAGCCACTTGTCTCGGGCACCCCAGGCTATTCAGGGCTCTCGCTAGAATAAAACATCTCATTTTACTACATCTAAAAATTACCCTTAAGGAAAAAGAGAGGGATAATTGCACACAAGAGGGCAACAGGGACACGGCCTCTGGTTAAAGGATATGGCTTTGTGTGACTCAGATGTAATGTCATTAGAAAGTGACTGATTCATTACGGCTCTTGCCATCCTAGCTAAATACTACAATCTGTTATATAGACACTGGAGCAAAGCTGCTCAAGGGCTCCTCAAGCGAAATTTATATAAATGATGTGCAAAAACTGGTATTCAACTGGCAATCAAGTATGCAACATGAGCAGGTAATGTAGCTACAGAGTGCCTAAGCTTTATAGATCCTGGTTTTCAGTTCAGTATTGAACATGAATCTATTAGAAAATTGTAGTTTTGAATGATTCACTATCTGCTAAGGATAGATCGAATAAAATAAAGACCTTCTTGGCAATAAAACCAAAATAATCATACAAGCAATGAGTGCAAGTAATAGGCAACATTCATGACTGGAATATTTGTATTCATAAATAAGGAGAAGTAAAATTTCTCCTGTCTTGGACAGGATATATTAAGTTTTCTAAATCAAACTGAAGGTCACATAGAAAACACATGATATTACAAGGGACCAACTTAAACAATGGAAAACAGTATATGAAATGATCTTTTTGAGGAGTTGAAGAGAAAGCAGGGAACAAGTATATTTTACCAATTCAAATGTCACGTTGACGTGCAGATTGGGGTTAAAAGCTGTTCTTGGGCAACTTTTCAGACATGATCTTGGCATGAAATTTAACTCCCATCGCACTTTCTTTTTACCTTTACTTGTTGATTTGACCTTGAAGCACACTACATGAATGCTTCTCTAGTTTAAGTTAATTTACAGATCTTTAATCAGGGAAAAACAACCTTCCTATGTGCACAATCTATTGCAGTTCTCCATCTCATCTTACAATTTAATTGAACCTTTCAGGAACAAAATTTGTTCTCAGGTGCAATTTATATCAATTAGTCACTGCTAATGAGCAGAGTAATTTGCAGAATAAGCTGAAATTATTCAGCTTCATATCTGAAGGCTTTGATTTGTACAGTTATTGCTTGATACGTGATAATGTACTAATATGTTCTATAATGTACAACATTAATTGTTTTGTTCACTGAATGTGTACTCAAATGATTACCTGGTTAAACAAAGGATAATACAGATAAATGCAACCATGCAGCTCTGTACACTGAAGGAAAAATAGAACCTTTTACCTGTGCATTCGTAATATATACTCGACAGAAATAGCTTTGTAATAATAGATTTATTTTTCTCAACAAACTGTCTGCAGTTCTAAAATGTAATAGTATGGAGAAATGGGCATTACATTAAAATAAGAAAAATATTGAAACTCAATTAAATGCATATCCGTCCTTCAATGCAAACACAAGCCTTCACAACAAACATCGTTAATTCACAACATTTTGTTTAGCTCAATTAAAAAAAAAAGATGTTTATGGAGTAGCAGTCATCTCTAAACTTAAATCAGGAAAACCACAGCTTTTGAGATACAAAATTACCTTTCAACATAATCAGTCACATCAGTCACATCAGTGTTGTGACAATTACAATTAGAATCAAGAATTTCCACTCTCAACTTATTAGTGTTATATAATTCAAACATTGAGAAACCTCATTTTAAGATAGAACTATATATCTCTAACACAACACATTCCTGGTCGATGTCTTAATGCCAAACAGCAGTGGTCTTCAAATTTAAATAAAAAGATTTAATCTTCTGTCATACAATTCTCTTTAAGACACTCTAGTACTAGTTTTAAGATTTGCAAGTAAGATACTACTTGTTTCCACATGGTTTTCTGTTCTTGACCCTGTTCCTGCAGTAGTGTAATGTTGCAAAGAAAGCTAGTGCTGCTGGTCAACATCACAGCAAGTTTCACATGTAATGTAAGAATTTCCTATGACCTTTTTGTAACATGACATAGGTACAACTGAACACTGATAGCAGTTTTCATTAACACTATTGTGAATATAAATTATCCTAAAAATAGACAAATCAACTGTGGAAACCTATAATTAACAAGATTTATTGCAAGTTTAATTTTGTGCTAAAAAATCTGATATATTTTTTGACACAATCATTTAAATTGTTTATTTTGGGTCAAACCTTTGTTGGAAGAACACAATTTCAGTAGGTCCATATTTTAGTTTTTTCATTCTTTTGTTCTCCATGGTTATCCAGGCCTAATGTGCGTCAATGTTCACAAAACAAAAAGGACACAAATGTTAAAAAACTGAGATTAGTTGTCATAAAGTAGGTTTCATGCTTAAAAAAGCAAAGCCTCGCTCTGATTTTTGACATGCCTGTCATTTTAAAAATGGATAAAAACACAGCACTCTGTCAGACTCCAACATCCACGTTTTTTAACATGTCTCCTGAGACATACAAAAAATGATTTATGAGATTAGCCTTTTCTGATGAATCATGAAAAAAAAATAAAAGTGGAAATACAATATGCACAGACTGATGACTTTGCACTCCTTTTTACACAGCCCAGGCATTTCCATAGGATTTTTCAAGGTATTTCATATTAAGAAATGTGCTGCAGTGATCCATCAGCTCCATGCAAGAAACGGGTGGGTGACAATGTGTGGGATTGTAATAGAGTTCTCACAGCTTCTGCAATCAGTACATGACAGAGGGGAAGAAATAAAAAAAATATCCCTCTAAGCAAACCTGAGTCCTCCCAATGCTTTTTTCATAGCCTATAGCTTAAACCTGAATAAAAGCTTAAAAATATCAAAACAAATCCGAGGCTACTAAAGAAATTGGGAAAATCAAAGCATTATTCTCAATTCAGCCAAAACACATTTCTGCGTGTCCAAAGGCAGCACCTACAGCTCCACATTCTTTAATAACTGTGGGTCGAGCAGCCAACAATATATCTGTCCCAGAACTTAAACATCAAGAGACTATGCATAGAAAACTTCAGGTAGGACCTTCAAGGCTCTGGAATGAGTTCTTTCGTGCCTCTCCTTCATCTAAATCTACACAGAAAACTAAGAAAAGGGGAGAAATGAATTGGTTTTCCTGCTTGAGTTCAGAATGCATTTGATTATTCTTGTAAATCTCACAGTAATAGTACGCATTTTATAGGCAATACTGCTGTCAATACAATGGGGTCAGTCTTAAAACTAACAAAACGTTTTTTGAAAGTGCTGTTCTGAAGTTGAGAGAGAGTGAAACAAAAATAGAGTGAGAATAATACTGAACACAGACAGGAAATATCATATCATAGCTCAATTAACTGGGAAAAAAACAACAAAAACTTAAGCAGTTTATAGATGGAGTCTGTAGACCAGTAGGAGGCACTCTTCCTAAACTAATGTCCCAGTAGAGTACTGTGCCGTGAGAGGCATCACCTCTCGGACATGAAGTTAAACCAAGGTACTGACCACTTGGTCATTGCAGATCAGCTCCAGTGACTGCAGTAGCAGGACTGTAAATCAGTGAGCGAGGAAGCCTTACTCTTTTCTCCACCTGATCTGCTGTGCAGCATTCGGTGCTACATGTCACCCTTGGAGTGTCACCACTGCAGCTCTTCAGTGGAAGTTGGAATGCGCTCCCCCTGCATGTATAGTGCTTTGGGGTAAAAACATGCAAAATAAATAATAATAATAATAATTTCCATAATTGCCTTTTGCTTTCTATTTGAGTGAAGTAAAAGATACAGTACACTGGCTTTGAAGCACTGGAACCAACCAGCAATTCTGTCTTCATAATCCCACTCTCTCAGATTGATGGTGACTTGTCACAGGAGAAGCAAACACCTCTTTTGCTTGAAAGATTGGAGTTAGTCTATCAGTTAATGCTCCATGACTTTTTTTTTTTAACATTCAACATATTCCTGTTTTGCCAGTGGGAAATGTTTTTCAGTGCTACTTCAGCTTCGTTACATACCTTGTGTATCGGTGCCGTGTTCTAAACAGCAAAAATTATTGTAAGACATGGTTGAGAGAAACAAGTCCACAAGAGAGTAACACAAATGTGAAACACATTCACTGAATCCCGTTTGCGATTTAAACCACTTTTGTGATTTGTGGATTCTGGGGAATATGACAACAATTTAGCTTTTTTTTTGCATTGAAATACATTTGAAAAGATATTTATAATTTAAATACATAATGGGAACATTTACTGTGCTTTTTTTCTTTATTTATTAGTCCCCCATGCAATCTGTGCATGGCAATATTATAAAACAGATGACATATAAAACTTGCATTCAAGAATACAATGAAGGTAACACTATATATCTGTATAATAACATTCCTTTCCAAATGAGGGAAAGGTGTTGGGAATTTAAACACGGAACAACAGATGAGGTACCAGGAAGTGCAAATTTACAACAAAAAATAAGAAATGAAGACACCCATCATGGGATAGATGACAAACAGTACTGAATAAATCATCTCCTCATGACCAGGTCTGGTTTCTTTGGGTTTTAAAATGTTACGTTCATTGGTCTCAAGTGACTTTTTTTCTTCCTTCACTTCAAATTCTATTGCTTGCCATCCTTAAGAAAAGGAAGAATTTTAGAATATACTAGAATATACTTTAAACAATATACTTAAATGGCACTTGATAAAATTACATTTGGCAACATGAGGACAAAATCTCAAACACAACACTAACGTGTTTTGTACATGTAAAAAATGTCTTGCATCAATCTCGATCAAGAAGGGGGTTGGAGGGATTTTATCTTTTCCAAAAGCATCGGTTCAACCAGAAAGGTGAAAACCAGTAGCTGCAACCCTTGAAAACTGGAATATGTTTATAGTTTTATTCCTAGTTCTTCCATCCTTTCATAAATCTTATTTTCACACTTTCTACGCAAATTTGTCGAGGTCTTAACTCAATTTCTTTAACATGGAACCGGGTAACTTTAGTCACTCCTTAATAAAGCATCAAGCTGGAGAGGAACACAAGTGTTTTTTCAAATGGAACTATAATGGAACACTGACTGGCTAACATTGCAGGTTGACTACACAAGTGGTATTTGCTCTAAATAAAAACTGCACAATTAAAAACCGTGCAACACAATCATGGTGAAAAATGACAATTCCACATTCCAGAGCAGCAACTAGGTTAACATTTAAGCTTTAATTTTCTTCACAACTTAATGACATAACATAATTAAATGCTTGATTGAATAACAGGCATTCATATTGGTCTCTTCTTCAGCTGCAGTAAAAACTTCACACAAGTACTATATCCTTTGCATTTGAAAAGGGTGTAGGGCTAAAATGTGTTCTTTTAAAAGAAGATCCCTCTGTTTTACATATAAAAGTTTTTGATTCCACTCATCTTACACTGCTATATGTTTCCCACCATGGTGCATCTTGTGTAAATTCACTCTTTCATTGTAACCACCTAGTACTTATGCATTATGGATGGGGAAAACAACCAGGTAATTGCATAAAACATCTGTTTACCTGGCCAGCAAGGTGTATCAATGATTATGTGCAGTAGGGTAATACTGCATTTATCCGTGTCCAAATGAAAAAATGACTAAATGGAATAATGACTTTACTGTAGCTGCTGTTTGTAAAGCTGCTCCATTTTAGTCAGCGTCTCCCTGGTCTGATATTTTATGGTAAACCAACTGACTCTTGTGAGCAGACAACTTGCTGTTCAAAATTAAACTGCCATCGTTCATCACCACCTGCGCCCAGTTGGCTTAAACTAGTGGGACCTGCCTTCTGCACCTTATTGCTCCACACATACTCTGCAGCCTGCTGGTGTTTTACTAGAGGCCAAACTGAGCTGAAAGACTTGAGCCCAAAACATTTTCACACCTCTGGCGGAAAAGTCTTGCTGCAGTGAGCTGGAGTCAGGAACGAGATCGGTACTGAAGAAGGGACTGCCACAGAGCCCGCACAACGGAGCCGCAGATTTCAGAAACGCGAGGCACGTGCCGGCTGGGCTCCCTTTTCCGAGCTCCCGCCAGGGTGAAGCCGGCAGCGCCTCGGGCAAACCGAGGGGGCTCAGTCGTCCGGGATGGGGGTGTTGCAGTTGCCGTGGTAGATTCTGACGGGCAGGTCGCACTGGTAGTAGAGCTGGAAGACGTCCCCGTAGCCGTGCTCCCTCCACCAGGTGCAGAGCTGGCGGTTCCAGCCGCAGTCCAGCGCGTGGAAGAGGCCCGGGTGCTCCATGCCGATCATGGTGAAGAAGTCCTGGTCCCCCAGGTGGCCCTGGAAGTGGTACTTGTCGGCCAGCCGCGCCACCCTCGCCGGCTCCAGCAGCTGGTTGTAGAGCGCCGAGCGCCTCATGGCCTCCAGGTCCAGCAGCATCACGCCGCTGTTGAAGCCCGGCTGGCCGTCGGGAGGGGGGCCGCCCACTGCGGTCTTCGGGTTCTCCCGCCGGTATTGCCAGAAGGTGTGCCTGAAAGCCACCGAGAGGGCAAAAGCGCAATTCAGACAAGAAAAAACCAAACTTCCACCTGCGTCACTTTCAAGAGCAGTGCGTCCTTATGCTACAAGGCTAGGGCTGCAATGCCCAAATCCTTTTTTTCCTGGGAGAAAACCCAGGAGATTCTTACAGTTGGCTTCCATTCCACATCCATCTCCTGTTGTGCAAGAGTGCATGTCAAGAAAGACCAAGTCAAATGGTATTTTTCACCAAATCATTCATAAAGTCAATTTTGGTCTCATCTTTCACCAACTATCCTGCAATATTTGTATCCTCTGCATCACCAGGTACAAGTACTCACGATGTTGGAACATGGTTCAAGGTGATTACAAGCAGATCAGGTCTCGGATATTATATGAGTGGTACTCCTTGCCTTGGCGGTAACATGGTGAAATAATCAGAAATATTTTTACATCTCTGCTAACATTTGGGAAACAAAAAAAAACTGTTTAAATAAATAACCGCTGAATCCTTTTTATCAAAAGCGCATTTTACTAGGTAAACTACAATAACATGCAGCAGCATGACACTTTTGTTTGATGAAAACCACTACTCTGGCATGTACAGGCACCTCTGTTGCCACCTAACACCGCTTCCTTAAAGTCTTGATTCCCTGCAGACTGACACTTTCAAGCTGTGCCACATTGGGACAAAAGGACAGTACATTTTCTAAACAAATGAAAGATTTGGCAGTGTTTGGGAAACCAAAAAAGCAAAAACCACACAAGTTATCTTATTTCAAACAGATCTGCTTTCCATCCCAGGCCAGTAATGGGGGGAAAAGGTTCACTCCACAAGTCTTACTGTACCATTCAGTTTGTTAAAGAATTCATTTCCAATAAAAAGAAAAAGAAGAAATTCTAAATGCAAGTGTATTATAACAGTAACAGGAAATGAATGATCAAAATGGTGGGATTCTCATGGGCCGATTTCTTAAGTCTTGACCCACCTACAATTACAATATCAGACAAAACACAGATTTGCTAAACCTTCCCGTCCCAAAGAAAATATTGTGAAGTGGACTTAAAACCACAATTGGGAGTTCAGAGCTAAAATTCAGTTGCAAAAATAATATGACAAGAAAAAGCCAAAAGGCCCAAAACACTGTCAAAGTTCTGCATATATTAAAGGAGCAATTCTATTTTTTGTAAAAGCCAGCTTAACTGTATATTCTTTAAAGGCTGATTTTGAATAAAAAGCATTGCGCTATCCAGACTGTTTTTTTTTTAACTATAAGGAATATTAACTACTTTGCAAACAGAAGACCAGAGAAAATGTAAGTGGGTTGAAAAATTCCACAAAATTACTGTCCCAAAACAGCTTAAAATAGGTAAAACAAACAAGGCAATTCAGCAAGATCCTGTAAGAGATGTTTTACATGATGGTGAAAGATATCTGCCAAAGAAAAGATGACAGTTCAATGTTGTTTTCGCCCATTGCGATACTAAGCACACTCTATCTCTATTTAGATTTTCTCCCAAAAAACAAGTCAAGCAAATACAAAAGAAATACAAAAACAAGCAAGCGAGAATTGCTAGCCTATCAAAAGACAATTGTTTGAAACAGTTTCCTTTCCAGGACTGTTAGTAGTTTCTTTCCTTTTTAGATTCCGAGATGAAATTGAATGTTTTTGTCTTGCTTCTAGATTAATTTTCTGTTTTTCCTTGGTGAAATAACCTCCGGAGTTACTCAGTTTTTGTTAACACAGCTTTTCAAGTGGAATGACACTCTTTTTGGACAAACAGGCTTCTAGTGTCAGAAGAGTAAAGGAGAATGTTTGGTCTACTTCTTGCTGTTGGCAAAGAGCACTAATTAATAATAATAATTGCTTACACTTATATAGTGCTTTTCTGGACACGCCACTCAAAGCAATGGGGACTCCCCTCCACCACCACCAATGTGCAGCCCCACCTGGATGATGCGACAGCAGCCATAGTGCGCCAGAACGCTCACCACACATCAGCTATCAGTGGGGAGGAGAGCAGAGTAATGAAGCCAATTCATAGATGGGGATTATTAGGAGGCCATGATTGGTAAGGGCCAATGGGAAATTTGGCCAGGACACCAGGGTTACACCCCTTCTCTTTTTGAGAAACGCCCTGGGATTTTTAATGACCACAGAGAGTCAGGACCTCGGTTTTACATCTTATCCGAAGGACGGATATTATAAAATATTATTTTTGTCACTCATAATATTTCCAGATGTTGCTTTTTTTACATTTCATAATCAGAGATGACAGGAAATAATTAAACAAAAACTGTTTCTGGTTAAACTATATATACTTCCCACAGCATGATTATTTTTCATTAATTTCATTAAACTCTGCGAATCCTTTACAAATCCTGTACTGGAGTCCTGTTCAGTGAAAGTGTATAATGCCAGATATTGCCATTGTTATTAAAAGCCAGAGCTGTGCTTTACCAAGAACACTTGTCGTTAAGAGGTGTCCAATATTACAAGCATTCAGAAGAACCTAAAGGAAAGGTTGAATGTTAAAGCCCTCAATTTTCAAAAATCCACAGTACGTTCTGTTCTTTTACACTGAGGTAGGTGAATTCAGCACAAGCCATTTACATAATTCTAATGAAACACAGTATGATGCATCTAATATAGATTTTAATTACTATTCTTAAAAGTAAAATAAAAATGAGCCACCTTCAAACACTGAATAACCCCCCAAAGAAAAAACAGCTAGTTTAAGAAACAAAGTATGAATTTAGCTAAATGCTATAACTAAAGGTCAGCTGAAGGCTGTTAGATGATAATAAAACAGGAAAGGACCTTGGAGCAACAAGAGAAGGCAGAAGTAAACTAATCGCCCACTGTTTTCAACACTAACAGAAAGAAGCTTAGGATAAAGTCATCCACTCCAACTCATTTGGTTGTTTGAACTAGCCAAAGTCTATTTCAATCACTTCCTCTTCAGGTTCAACAGTATGGTTGGATAGCTGTTAGAAACATCCACAACTCTTTGTACAAATGTCTAGAAAGGGTATGAGCTTCAAGAATATGACTGGGCAGCTTGTTCCATACTTTCACAAATCCTTTGGGTAAAGTGCTTCCTGCTCTTGGTTTTAAATACACTTCCACTTCGCTTTCACTTGTGTGGTCTGGTTCATGTTCCAGTCTTCATTCTGAAGAAGATGTGCGCTATGCTGCGATTAAACAACAGCTCGGCCAGGAACAACGTGAAGAGATCAATGACTAGCAATCCTCAGTTTTTTGTTCATGCAAGAAAGTTCAGTTTTCCCTCAGTTAAAATACTGCACTTTCTGACATGTTCAGAGCTTTTAGAAGCTAGTCACTGACATTTACATAAAGGGTCTTCTCTGTTATAATGTTTTTCCTTTCTGCTTTATTTCATGTGGAAAAAAAAGGTTTTGTTGGGTGATACGTGCTGCACTCGATGAAGAGGAAATAGGTTTGCAAAATGGAAAATCCAGAATAATTTATACCGTACTTAAGGATAAAACTGTGAATGGTATCTTTACAGTTAGAAACAATAACACTTAAAATATTTTTTGAAAAGAAGTTAACAAGTTTGGCCTGGAATCTTTTTTAAACTTAACCAAGTCTCATATTGTGATCCTGCAAAAGCTTATTCTATTACAGGGAAGGGTATAATTTGAACACCACGTTCCTAAACTCAGGTGATAAACAGGTCATAAAAGAATTTCCTAGCAACAACACATTAATTACAAAGACTGGGCCAAGATCTGGAAAATCCACACTTAAAAAAAAAATTAAAAAAACTATTTTAAGTCCTGCATGTTCTTTTCACGTAGAAACATGTTTGTGCAACACTTAAAAGTCAAAAACAAAAAAAGGCGAGAGAGGAGTAACCAGTGTTTTTCCACCATGAATACTCTAGGTTAATTTCATACTCGGCTTTCTAGGGAAGTGATTTTCTCAGAAATGGCAACAGTACTCTGCAAGGCACACCTGTCAAGCAGATGCTTTTAATAAAGATCTGCTCTATAAAACCCAGTTCTCCAAGACTGGGGACAAATATTCAAATATAGGGAATCAGCAAGCCTCCAGAAGTAGAATATTAATATCAGCACACTCCATGGGCACATTCTAAACGTAACAGTGTTGCCTAGATGTGAAGGTCAACTTTCAGTAGGCAACATTACTTACAATTACAGTACGTTCAGTTCCAAAACTGAAGTTACAATGGAACATTGGTGGCCCCAGCTGTAAATAAAAGCAGACGTACAGGATACATTCATTCGAATTTTATTTGCAACATATACTGAAAAACAAAGGATATGCCACAGTCGGGTCCAATGCATTTAATTGAATGATTTATTTTAGTTGTCAAATCACAGGACAAAAACCCAACACACATAAAAGATTCCTGTATGTAACGCATCACTCATTACACTGAAAATACCCACATCATTACACTTCAGCATAAGTAACATCTTCACACACATTCCCTTCTGTCAGGGTTGTCAAGGACAAAATAGTACTTACCTGTAAACACTATTTTATAGGCCACCAGCACAAATACCTTCTGGTCCACAGAAGATGAGATTTTGTCTCCCAGATGTGCACGCTGCCCCCGAGTGAGGTCTTCGAGCATGCAAACCATTAATGCATCATTGGCGCTTTACTGGAGTCTTACGGAGACAGCAAGGTACGAGTCATTTTGCTAAAGTGTGAATCATTTCTTCTTATAGTTTCTTCTGCTATAGCAACTTCAGTCTCAAGAAACATCGGTGGTCTTGGGCTGGCTTGGTGACCCATTAATGCTCAGGGCATGGCCTGCTCAGCTTCCTGGTTTGTCCGGACAAGTCGGCAGACTTCTGCAGCTCAATTTTTGGGTTTATCAAAAACAGGACACCTTAAATTTTTTCAAGCTGGCCATCTGCTTTAGTCACATCTACAGGGTTTTGTTGCATATTGTACTGTTCTTGCATTCATTAAAGTCTTGTCTTTATAGGTTCTTTACAGAAATTCTGAACTC